TCTCTCTCTCTCTGATAGCTGAAAAAGTCAAAAATGATATCAATAATTCGATCTGTAACCGGTTTGTGAAACTATGAAAAAAATTCAATGGTATTTCGCTACCGCTACCTTAGAATTACAAAGTTATGTTTCATATTTTTAGATGTTTTGAGTTACTGAGACCTTGAGGCCAGGATCAACGAGCCAAATGCTCTATCTGCTGTTGGCTATCAAAATAGAAAGATTATTCAATGTCGTTATCAAGACCCCCCCTATCCCCCAAAATAAAAGAGCGTTTGAAAAAATTTGACTTGTTGTGAAACTCTAAGTTTTACCTCAGATTTCCCCACACTGGGTAGACCTACTGAGCAGATAAAACTTTATGATTCTAGGGTAGCTATTTTGGCTTTCACAAAGCTTAGAGAACCCATATTTTGCTTTGGAACATCATGTATCATTGCAAAGTTGGGATTTGAAATCGACCGTTTAAAAAAAGTAAATAAATTATGGTTCGGTTGTCATTGAAATGGCGGCCATATTGGATTTTGTTTACCGATTTTGATCTCGTTTTATTCAGTTGTTTATCAACAAATACACTTTTAATTTGACATGTACGTAGAAAAAATACAGATTTAATATTTGTCCAGGGGAATTTTAGGCGTATTATGATTCAGTTTTCATTTTATGACACGTAAAACTCATAGCATAACTGTGAAAAAATTCCCGGTAAAAATCAAAATTCCTGAAGCCATCAAAAGCTACACATGCTAGCAAAAATTCGTCTAGACAATTTTAGAACTAGGTGTTACTCGGGTACTATGAACATTGAAGTAAAATGGAATGAGAAACAGAATAGAAAAATTAGAAGAAGTAGCCTATAAAAAAATTATAGCTTTTCGAGAAAACAGTCAATATAAGATCTGAAAAGGCCAAAATAGTTTTGTTTCCAGTAAAAACCTGCAATGCCAAACCAAAACATGGCGACTATACTTGATAACATTAGCACAACAGAAATAGAATGGGGGTTTAAAATTCTTACTAAAAACTGAAGCATGTTACAGTATATAAGCGGTGCAAACTTGGATTTTTTTAAAGACAAAAACGGACAAATTTTCATTTTCTCCAAAAAAATCCCCCCCCCCCCCCTGTTCTAAAATCCCTTTAAAAAACACCACTTCAGGTGATTTTTTAAATTTTTAAACACATGTTCTAGCTCTCATTCTTTCTCTTCCTCTATCCTTCCCTCTCTCCCTCTCTCATTCTCTCTCTCTCTCTCTCTCTCTCTCTCTCTCTCTCTCTCTCTCTCCCTCTCTGTGTGTGTGTGTATGTGTGTGTGCTCTGTCTGTCTGTCTGTCTGTCTGTCTGTCTCACTGACACAAACGTATACCCACACACTCCTATCTATGTATCTATCTACATATATATATATGTCTCACATCCACACAACAGGACTGACTTCCCATTTGAATAGAAAATCCTCAGCTTTGTTGGAAGTGAAATATCCCTGGTCTTCCAAATCCTATTCAAAGAGGTGTGCTTTTCCATTGTGGAACTTTATTTCAGCACCCGTTCTTCCCTCTATGTCAATTATTATCCCAACAGACCAAGCATAGATCTACTATTTTATTACCAGTGGTAATGTGCATAGATTGTCAGATATGTGTGGAAGAGAGGAAGTGTGAGGAAATAGTGTATGCGAGTTTATGGGTGTGCACATGCGCGCGCTTTTATGCGTATGTGTACATGTTTGTTTGTATGTGTGTTTTTTTGTTGTGTGTGTGTGTGTGTGTGTGTGTGTGTGTGTGTGTGTGTGTGTGTGTGTGTGTGTGTGTGTGTGATATATATATATAAGAGAGATACAGAGCAGAGAGAGAGAGAGAGAGAGAGAGAGAGAGAGAGAGAGAGAGAGAGAGAGAGAGAGAGAGAGAGAGAGAGAGAGAGAGAGAGATTATTAGTACATCTAGTTTTAAAAATAATAGACATAATAAATTGAATGATAGCGATAGACTTAACAATGTAGCCCAATTAATGTGAATAACAACTTTCTAGCTCTTTCTAAATCTATGATATCAACCATCTTCAGAATATTTTGCTTCGGTTTTCCCTCGCCCAACTTTGTGTTCTTCAAAATGCCCATGACAACGGCTTTTGAACCCGGAAGTTTATAAATTCTAAACGCAAAATGGCGTCTCAGCATTAGATTAGACTTGTTTGTTTGTCACAGTAACTTCCAGTGACGATAGATGTAACGGTGTCCTCAAAGAACATGACAGAAGCCAATAGGTTTGTATTATATCAGTTGTGAAATTCAAGACAAAGTATAGGTAATAGCTGAACGGTTTCTTTATGTCGAGGCATTTTAAATCAGTTTTTTTTTGTTTGAACGGCGGCTGAGCTAGCCTAGGGCTAGCCTTTTTGTTGATGGCTACCCTGACTTGTGACTAACACAAAAAAATAGGCCTACTAAATTGTAAATTTTTAGTTTGCAATACCTGATACGAAACCAAAACTAAGGTACCTTACTGACAGTGCATGTAGATAGGCCTCCTATTTTTACTCTTTTCCTGCGTCTGTGCTGAGATGTGAAACCTATCCTATTCTATATTATATTAATCCCCTTTCGAACCCCATAGATTATTCATAACAACAAGGGCGTCTAAAAAGGTCATTCGAATGAGCATTACTGCTCGTAATGTCTTATCAGCTTATGAGAGGGGGTTATTTATGTGTTCGTAACACTTTATTAATGGCCACCTCTATTCTCACCCCGGGTTAATAGTGCAGGCGTGTCTTTTGGCTATTCTCACCCTGTGCGCGTTCACCGTTATAGCCTAGATCTAGGCCAACCAATTTTGCGTTCACCCTAAAATACAGAATTCTACACTGTGATAACAGAAAAATTGTAGAATTCTGTGCCGTGAACATACGTTCCATTACTACTGTTAGCCTACTTAAAGCGTACAATTTTGTCTGTGGGCAGTGGAGAGAGAGAGAAAGAGAGAGAGAGAGCAGTGGCGCGAGAACCTCTGGGCAAAACAAAATGGCGCCCGCGTAGTTCGGCTCGATTCGAAAAGTTAAATAGCCGTAGTATCTTTGTAGACGACCAAATTAATTTACTTTTGTGTTTTAACATCATTTTTTAACTTTGTTTTGGTCAATTTGATCGTCCACACTGATAGACAGTATTCAGAAAGAGATAGAGAGAGAGAAGAGGGGAGGAGTAGATCTTGCGAGAACTTCCGGGCAAAACAAAATGGCGACCCCCGTAGTTTGGCTCGATTCGAAAAGTGAAATAGCCATAGCATCTTTGTAGTCGATAAAATTAGCTTACTTTTGTGCTATATAACGTAATCTTTTCTTTGCCTTTATCCATTTGATCATCCACATCGATAGAAAGTATTCCGAAATTAGGAAAAACAGGTCTTGTTTTACACTGGGTGAGAATAGCCTACCTTGGCAAGTCTCACCCGGGGTGAGAGGTCGATTGTATTTCTATTCTCACCCCGGGTGAGAATAGCCACTTCCTTTATTAATAGAAAGCTATAAAAGATAGTCGCTTCGTCATAGTATAGGCCTACTCCTGACTCCTGATCACCTCTGCATAGTTTCAGTCTAGAGTCATACCCTCGCCCCTGCCCTCATTGACTTGTGAATGGCGACTGTCTGACTGTAATTTAAGCTCACTTTCCAATCTCATACTTTGCAGTTCATTTGTACTGCTCCTGAGATAGCATTACCCCCCCTCCACCCCTGCCTGTTTATGTTTGGGGTGTGCTTATTCCCAGTTGGGAATAGTACAAATTGCTTATTCTTAACCGGTATTAGGAGCTATTAATAGCAAGGAAGTGTCTCCCGAACCAGGATCCTAGTCCATGGAGACACTCAGTCTTGGGGGAACCATTAAAATATTTTGCTTTTTTACGCATGCGTGACCTCACGAGGCATATATCATGTATCCCTGCCGGTCAATATCAGTCATAAGGAATTTTTAAAACTGAGTTAACATTATTTTTAAAAACTATCTCCTTTTCCCCACAATTTAAGAAAAGAATGAAGTAAATATGACCATATTTGATGAAAAGATAGCACTTTAATTTACTTGTCCTTACTTGTCCACTGTGTTGGGGTCACTGCAGTCAGAACATGTCCATCTCTGCTCTTCCCCCCCTCATCAGGATCCATCCCAGAGTCTGTCTACTTATAGTTCCCATCATGATCTGGTTGGAGATCCGTCGGACTGGTCCGCACAGATGGCTGTGTTTCCCCTCTCCTCTTTGGATCCCCTTCTCCCTCAGTCTCCCTAGAGTGTTGGAACCGCTATCCACCCTATTCTTCCTCAAATTTTCCCTTTCAGCGGTTAGGACGGTTGGTGGGTCCAGTGTCAAATTAGCTCCCACTTTTGTTACTCCAGCCAGCTTGTCTGCTCTCTCATTGCCGGTTACCCCCGCGTGACCCGGGCAGAAGATCCAGGCCACTCTTTCCAGCCTGCTCTCCCTGATCGTAGCCTTCCAGTCCACATACATCATCCCTTTCTGTACCTTCTGTCGTGTGCTTATTGAGTCAGTAATGATTACTGCTCGCTGATGGCTAGTGTTCTTGATCCAGTGTAGAGCTTCACTTATGGCTTTTATCTCCATACACATACTTGATGTTGTCAGTGCAGTTGCTCCACTTTGCTCTTTCACTACTACCCCATCAACTCTTTAAATTGTGCGAGGTGAGGAAACACGAATAGGAGAAAATGGCCTTCAAAGTTGAGCAACATATGTTTCCATAGCTATGGGGTCTTAGAATTGAGATAGAGACTTGAAATTTAGCAGTTATCTTTGGCTGTGCTACTACATGGTAACAGAGAGAAGTAGAAAACATTTCATTAACAGAGAAAAAACTTATTGACAATACAGAATTTTCTGGAGAATGGACGTCACGTCAAATGCAACAAAATATTAGCATTGTACTTGGTACCAGATACTAGATGTTCAAAGTAGCTTTTTGTCAAATTCTTCTGTTTCATATATGAAAGTCCTATATCTCCTGAGAATTTTGGTACCATACTTTTACCTCTCAGTCAATGTTTAAGAGAATGGTAGCTGTTTCAATTTAACATGATAATCAAATATTGCTGAAGTCGCTAATAGGCTGCAACCCCATGTTTGACAGATAGTAAAAGAGTACCAAGTGCACCAAACATCTCTACATTAACAGAGTACAATCATTATAACAAAGAAATTAAACCTAACTTTTTTCAAGGCTGTGAGATCTTAACATTTCAGTATTTTATTGCCTCAAACACGATGATCTGTCGTTATTTCAATAAAAACACCGAGCGTTGTCTCGGCAGCGTTGCACCAGCCCTCGTGTCGAGCAAGTCGGCTCTATACTGTAGTGGACTAGTGCTCCCGGTAGTTTCGCGGAAAGATTCATGGAAAAATAATACCTAGCCTTTGACATTATTCTAATAGAAAAGGAACTGTTCTTTCTATTGGAACCTTTTTTAAGCCGGTATTTTACACATTTCGTGTTAAAAATAATCTTTGAAAACTTAGACGCTTTTTTTCAAGGTTTTCTATCCAAATGCCTAAGGCCAAAAATAATAACCATGGGAAACCACGCTCAAAACTGTATAATTCTCCACCAATGAAAAGACAGTATTGAATCATCAACCTTACTGCAAAGCATTCGAATGCATGGGTGTCAATTTTGAGCCAGACGACTGAGGGGCTTCCCATTCCACGGCGATTCTCCAACTCCAAATACTCAGATATATGCAAACAACTTACACTATTGTAACGAAGAAAATCTGAACTTTTTCAAAGTGTTCTGCATTTGGGTGTTTTATAGCGAAAGATTCTTGCCTATTGTGCGATAAACATAATATTTATTCTAATTTCTATTTTATGTCTTTGGTTCAGAGGGAAAAAAATAATGAATAAAAGGATCGCTCCTCATATTATAGGCTTTTGTTTAAAAAGATTATAATTTTGTTCAATCTTTCACCTGCTATTTTTGTTCTTTCATTTTAGGCTCTACTGATAACGTGAGCGACCTTACTCTGTGTCAATTTCTTAACTTCTCATTAATTTCATCCTTGTAGATTATTGCAAGTTGCAGGGAGTGTAAGCTCAGATGATTCCAAGTCAACTGCAGTGTCAGCGCTCTCTTCTGTTGATGCAACTGGCACAAGCCCTCTGCCAAACATTTACAATGTGACAGGGGCTGATGAAGGAGTTGCGTCTCATAGGAAAATAAGAGCTGATGATGTGAGTTATGAATACAAAATGATAAAAACATTGCTTAACTCTTTGGATCTGGCTCGGCGCCTTATTGGCATTTTCATGATATACAGTCAAACCTGCCCTGGCGACCACCTCTATAAGAAGGCCACCTGTACCAATGGCCACTTTCCATTTACCCTCTTGCATTTTTTCTCTATAATTTAACTGTGTAAAACGGGCACCTGTCCAACGCGGCCGCGGCCACCTTATTTTAACACACAACCCCTATCACACTAAGCAATAACACCTGTCTTAGACGGCCACCTTAGTGACTCCATTACGTTTTGTCATAAATTGTGCATTGGCCCCTGGCGCTGTGGGCGAGCCGTCATAATTCAATCACCTGTCGTTGTTGTTAGGTAGTCCCCCCAACCGATCATATTGCGTAGGCCCCTCCCTCTATTGACCAATGGGTAAAAAATTTTCAGCTGCTGGTGAGGTAAGCGTGTGATCCCTCATAACCCATAAGCTCCGCCCAGAACTCATACAAAAATCGTAAGTGAGATGAGTGGTCACTGTATACCTAGTCTGTAACAAAGTAACAAAGGACATCAACATTAACTTGCGACAGAAGCGTCGCTTGTTCTCTGAGTGGTAACGACCCATGTGTTTGTTTTAACATGGCACACGGTCTTCCTCGTCTGATACATTTCGTTTTATTGTCACCATTGTGCAAAATCAGCAACAAGAGAAAAATGACAAACAAAATACAAACCAACAACAACAACAACAAAAACAACAATAACAATGCGGCTACTTTCGATTGGGACCTCAGATGGGAATGGTTTGTTTTCTTCATCTTGATCAGTCCTGCCTAAGACGGCCACCTGTCTTATACGGCCACTTTTCTCCTTGACAATGAGTGGCCGTCTTACACAGGTTTGACTGTATATTGATTTTGTCAACCCGAAGATTTACACCTCATTCTGCATTCACATTAACTACCTATTTTTACCCATATCGTCATTTTTTGTCCAATTATGAATAGTTTGAGTGCTCACACCAACAAATTTATCAATATTTGACTGAACTATAGCCGTCTTAAAGTAACACCCTTTGCTGCCAGGTTGTGTGAAATTGTGGAATCCTTTGTGTACTGAAAGTTAATGATGGAGTAGTAAAGCTGAATTGGTGGTCACCATGCTCTGTGCAGAACCTTGTATTTGAACAAGGGTTATATATATACAGTCACATCTACATCTAATGGCTACCTGTCCAAGATAATAACCTGTGTAAACAACCTCAATTCTTCCTCCCCCTTTGCTTTTTTCTGTATCTGTATTATACTGACCCTGTCCGAGACAACCACCTGTATAAGATGACCATACTTTTCTATTCATCAATCATAATGGGTCGTGGTCTGGGATAATTTCGACTGATAAATATTTGTCCTTCTTGAGGATGCACTCCAGTGACTCGCCACTCAAACTTCGTGTCACCAACATGGTGTAGTTGATGTTTTCGATCCATAATATGCGAGGCATTTTGTGAGCCAGAGCTCACTATTTCCTCATCCCTCTCCTCTCCCTCACCCTCACAGCTGTTCAGAAAAGAAGTCGGAGCTGGAAGTCATTGTGGCTGTCCTCAACTGCATGACAACTTCAAACTTTTACTTTAAAAACAGAAGTGTAAGGTAGGCTATGTATGCTTTAAAGCCTCCAAACACTCAAAAGGTCTTTTTTAATTTTTTAAACATATTTAACTTTGGTTCTTTTATTTGATCAGCATTTCCAGTATTGGTTATTTGTCTTCTTTTATCACAGCTTCCTTCTAAAAAACTTCAATTCTCCCAATGGCATGAACTACGCAGGACTGAGGTCAAAGGTAGCCAGCTGAAGGCTCCCAGGGTTCGTCGAGGTAAGGGATGTTAGTTGTACAAACTTAAACTTCACTTGTGGATGAAATGAAATGTTATGAAAATTATCTTGCAGCTTAATATGAGGAAAGATATAGAGGACATTATTAGAGACAACTTCAGATTACTGTGAGTCATGTATAAGCAGTTTGGATTGATATTGTGCTTGACATTTTTCTTTAAGTTGTGTAGAGCAGTGATATCTTGCAGCGAAGGACAGTTAGCATAATCATAAAAGTTCTGAAGTTTGAATTGCAAGAGGCACATGACAGTGCTTTATAGCCAACAAATTGTAATAAAAAAATTGTTTTGGAATTGTATTTTTACACAGGTCCACCTGATCGAGATCGGGCATTTTACGAACTGACCGATGAGGACAACGAGAAAATTCACCATGACCTCCGTGGTGGACCTCGGCAAAAGCAAAGGGATTTCTTGGAGGACTGGGAAACAACAAAGGTCATTTGGTTTTCTAATTTTTAGCTTTGATACTAGAGGAGAGATTTCAAACTCAAATTACCCGGGGGCCACTGGAGGTAGAGTCTGGGTGAGCCTGGTCGGGTTCAATTTTTCCATTAAAAATGTTTCAAAGTATTTTTAAAAAATACAGCTTTAAAATCATGTTTCCAATTAGTCAAGAAACACCACTGGAACTTGTTATGAACCTGAGCTATGGTAAACCAACTGTGATTTTTAAAAATACCGGTATAAAAACCCTGGGCTGCACCTCAGTGAAAAGATGCTTGTGAGAAAAATGTGTGGGCAGCACTAACACTAAACTTTGATGCCAAATTGGGGCTGCTATACTATATATCATCCTGCTGGCCTTAAGTGGCCCATGGGTTGTGAGTCTGAGATTCCTGTTTTTGAGTTTATGTTGCTGTTATTCACTTCTTATCTCAGGCAAGCCACTCCCAGCAGTTTGCAGTCAGAACTATTGTGCCTATGAGCACAACCTTTGTGACGACTTCAACATCAAATTAGTGTTTAGCAATTGCCCAACCGAAAACAGGTCTCTTTTACTCTTTTACCAGGAATTAATGTATTAGGTGAAGAACTACAGTGGAATCCTGTTATATCGAGAGGGAGGGGACTGGTCCGAAATATCCGTTGTAACCAGATTCTCGTTATAAGGGATCCAGTAATAAATTCAAGGGAAATAATAAAGTAGGTCTAATCTGTGAGTTTGGTGCTCTGTTTCTTTCTTTTTGTTATCTCCCCTGATGATGATTTCGTTCAACATGACCTCTAGACTCTAGGTTTTTTCTGATTAAAAATCTAATCAGGTTTCTTTCTCTAGCGCCTGCTGTGTTGTCCTCCACCCCACGACACCCTGTGGTATGCTTTCGCACTTTTGGTACACACTACACCCTGCCCACGTCACGCATTCGCTCCATCCATCACAGCACTGTGACCTCTCAATCCCCACATCGGAGAAGTGAGAGGCATGGTAGGCCTAGATAATCTAGACTAGGTTGGCCTATCACGCGATGTGTTCTGCTTGTCTGCAAATGCCACACCCTACCCACTCATTGGCCCCGGCCTTCATTGTTGGCATACATGGGCTCTCCCATTCTATTTTTACGCTAGATCACCAACAAGTTTCTCAACTGGCAAAGTTTCACATTTGTATGGTTGGCCTATGCGCTGTACACAGTAGCAGCAATATTCCGCTATTACCGACTTGCGTGTTTGTCTAATTGCGCTATAGCAGTATTTTATATTTTATTTACAAAGGTAAAGAAGGGAAAAGCACAGGGTTTTAGACTAGTACTTCTCGTTATTTTAGGACTCGTTATATGTGGACTCCACTGTATCAAAATAGATTCACATGTTTTCATTTAATGACCAATTTACAGATTTTGTACCGAAAGAACAAAAGAGGTCCTTCTCTCTCTCTCTTCTGGCGCTGTGGCTTCATAAACGGTCAGCGATGCCGACAGCCCGCAGGAACTCAGGCATAATGGGTTTAGCCCCCTCCTCCCCCCCCCCTCCCGGAGATGAAGAGTTAATCCAGTAGTTCTCAGCCTTTGTAACTTTAATGTGACATCAATAAATGACTGAAGCTCTGAATGTTTTATGAATTATCATAGTCTTATTAAAGTCCATGCCGGCTTTAAGCACGGTCATCGGGAGAAAGCTTAAAAGCGTGCTTAAAGCTGAAGCGTGCTTAAGTGTGAAGTAGACATAATCCAGAGATTTTCATGTAGAAAATTCCCAGCACTATTTCCCTTTGTTTGTAAGTAGGCCTATAGCGGTCCCGCAAAAGTGTGCACTGTTATTTAGACACCCGCCATGGTAGTTTTTGTTTGCTTGTTTGTTTTTGTTTTGTGGTCGAATGGGAAATGAAAACTTAATTTAGACGGCCAGTCATGATACAGCACACTAGGCCTACTGTAACACACTGCCTGTGCGTACCACTGCCCGCTGTGCCACTCACACCACAGCCTTCATCCCACCTCGCGCGTGATACACAATCAGGATTAATGGATAGCGAGGGTCAAAGGTAAAATCTCAACCAGCCTCCCTTTCTCGTCTCCCCGACTCTCTTTGTATTTTTTTTTTGGTCGTGTGTAGCTTTGCCCTAGGCCTAGGCTAGATCCTATGTCCGCGCACACGGCTGTGTGCATCTCTCTGCCTTCCTCTCCGCCCGTGTGAGTGTGTGTGTCCATAACTTGCGTTCTTTGTGTTTCTCTTGACACACTCCACTGCTGCGGTGTAAACTGTGTTCGAACTTCGATGGGTCATCATGAAAATACATGTATTGACTGTCTTGTAAATGAAGTGTGCTTGAAGCCGAAGTTACCGTGTTTATAGGCGTGTAATTTATATAGAGTAAAAATTCGGTAAGAGCCGTTTAGCGTGCTTGAGTCCGAAACGTGCTTAAGGCCGGCGTGCTTATAGCCGGCACGGACTGTATAACTTTTCATAATTTACAATTTATTAGGTTCTGATCTCTGCTTTGGATAAGTATGGTAATTATTCTAATATTTTGATTATTGCTTTGTATAATTTTCAAAATGTTCTAATTTCACAATTTGTCCCGGCCTACAGATGGCGAGTTTTACGAGGCAGGAGCTGCATCATGGCTACCAGAAGCCTAACCTTGGTCGAATCCTAGGACGACTCAAGTCTGTGGTGTACCTCAACCTTCAGGACAATGAACTGCTTGACCTCTCCTCCTACAGTTTCCCATGGTCAGTGGGGGACATGCTTTTGAGTTTGTACTTAACAAACACTATTTTCAACACTATTTCAAGTTACAGGTTGATAAAAAACAACAACTATACAACTTGTTTTGTAAAAAGCTTCCTATCCTCAATACTGAAGTTTTTCTTTTCAAATTTGATCATAGTATTTGGAAGCCAAGAGGAATTTGTCTGATATTCATTTTAGATCAGTCCATTTAATGGTTTTGCTCTACATGGCCCTTTAAAAAATAATCCATTTTCAAACTTGTCCCCATTTTCGTAGAATGACGCACCAGTTCATATTAGGCCTGCCACTAAAAGTTGCAACAATCGCAATTGTAAGCTACAGCAGGCTAACACGTCATCAGAAGTCTAGAGATATTATTTTTCCCAAATTTCGTTTACCTGCTGAGATCATGATAGATTAAGTTTAGTAAAAAGCTGAGAGCATTTTGTATTGAACATTACCTCTCCCCAAACTCACCGTCCCTTACATTTCGTAAGTTCTGCGCATGTCACGGGAAGAATGCTTAGGTGCCCTCATGATCTTAGATGTCATGAGTAGAGAAGTTCCGTTAGTTTGAGTCTATAGGGAATCAGAACTAAAAGTTTCCTAAAAAATTACCTCGTAAGGTCGAACACACACCATGGGCAGCCCTTTAAATATCACCTGAGTGCAGATTTCACTTTCGAGTTTCATGAGACGTCTGCCGGTAGACAATCTGCAGCTAGGACATTCCTACACCTCAACAGTCTGCATTCTCGTGGCAGATCTTAACCTACGACTGTACCATTTTCATCTTCGCTAGGCCGAGATGACATGGATCAGAGCATGACAATGTATTCATGATTCCTCAATTGTCTTGAAAAGCGGGATCATTTCCTTAATATAGAGATGGGAATCGGGCTTGCAAAATTAGCATCCGCGAGTAATGAACTACTTGCTGGCACTACCCGCAAACGAGCGGACGGGTAACGAACCGTCCGCTTTTGAAGAGTAGTTCGCTACTCGGTGCTCGCTACACATTGGACAGAGACAACAGTTCGTTTAGCAGGTGGGCGGACGGGGAGGGACTCTTTCCATTGCATACTACTTAACAACTCCCCCCCCCCCCCCCCCCTTCCACAGGCCTTTGTGATAATTGGAACGTACACAGTGTGACCCATGCACAAGGTGAAAAGTTACACTCATAGACTACGTTACCAACCTCTCTCACTCCCTGTGGCACCGCTAGTGGTTTGAAACATTAGGCCTAATTTACAAACAATAGACGATGGGTCTAATCTTGTGTCAAGTATCTTGTCTGCTAGAGTTGGTCCGTTTGCCAGCCTGCTCAGTGAATAAAATTGCGGAGCAGACCCAAAAAACAAACTGACTTGAGGCTTGAGGTCCACTTGCATGGCCGTCCGTTAACTGCTCACTCTGACTGAGTCCGCGAGTAACGAACCCGTCCGTCCGCTCACCCCAACTCTACCTCGATGACATTTGATTTAGTGCAAAGCCCATTTTCACCCTGGGGGATATGTGTGTGTGCCTAAAGAAAGGTACCAAAAGTCGGATTTTGACCATTTAGAGTAAAGTTTTGCACCTTATATAGGAAAATCAATGCCGAACGTAGGGGTCTTTTAATTTTTTAGATATATCTCAAGTAGTTTTTGAGATATTGCATATATTTGCAAGGTAGGGTATAAAAATATAATTTTGAGAAAAAGAGCTTTTAAGTTTAAGAACGTGAGAACACATACAAACTTAAAAAAAGAACGATTTTTTAAATGTATTTATTCATGGAAAATTCATTTCCAATTTGGCATTCAGTTGACATGAATGTCTTGAATGGAATTCAATGGTAAAACATGAAGAGAAAACGTGCTTTAAGAACAGATTTTAACTCCTTTTAACTCATTCGCTACGCCGAGCCGTGGGGGGCGGCGCGGCTAAAGTGCCGTCAGTACGCTAAGCCGCCCCCGGCGGCTCGAGAACCAATGTTCAATTTTAGCTTGGTTTCTATTCCAATCCACATATCCATGTTAAAATAAGGTCATAATATAAGTTGACTTCCGGGTCAAACGTTTCCACCGAAAATCGGAAGTTTTGATTCAGTTTTGAAACACGATTTCGTAGTTTATGCGACATTGTTTTATCGCGAAGCCCAAATGATAGCCCAGACACCAGTCTTAGTACTTTTACACAACAAAATGTATCATTATTTTGCTCACTAAAGAAGTGTAGGACTCTTCTTTACAATATTGATAGGCTACTACTGGACTCAAATTGCCAGTGCACTGTAATTGAGAAATCAATATTTTTGAGTGCTAGGCCTAGATCTAAATAGATCTATAGTCAAAATATTATTTTTCTCCCCAAAATCACTTTTTGGTGAGTTTACTCAAAAAGTACCACCCAAGACATGTATAGGTTTATTCCAAATGCAATTCTGAATAAATCCATATAAGATACGAGTGTTTTTTCTGTTTGGGATCCTTTTTTCAAAATTATTAATTTTTTATTTTTTTTTATCAATATCGGAGGTTATGATCCAAATGTACAAATATTATGGAATGTATGTAAATAACTGCTCATTTTTCAATATTTTCCTGTTCTATATACAGTTATGGTTATTTTGATTTATAATTTGACAAGGTGCAAACATATTTTTTGAGTTTCATCTGAGATTATAAATTTTTTGTTTTCAAATTTTATCCGCAGCCAATCACAATTGTGTTGCATAATCGCCTCTTACAGGAACCAAAGTTTAAAAATACTCAAATAAACGATACAGATGTATTCTACAAACCATATTGAAAATGTTGGTATATAATATGTTGATATTTATTTGAATTTATGGCACCCAAGACCTGTGAACTGCGCACTAGTCATCATCTCATTTCGCCCTCCTGAAAAAAATTTGTCCACAAGCCGAAAATAATACGAAGCGAATGAGTTAAAAGCAGTTTTCTTTATTAGTTTTTATTATACCCTACCCTCAAAATAAAATGTTTAGAAGTCAGATAAATGAAAACCCTTTGAGCACATTGCAAAAAAATGGTGGATATGTCATTTTTTAAAATGGAAACACATTTTAGTCCAAAAAGTGATTTTTGTCATTATCAGCTTGTAGCTCGAAACGGTCTGGGGCGACTTTTGGTGCCTTTCTATAGGCGCACACACATAATATGTTAACTCCAAAAATGCTGCCTACTGGGCACCCCACTCCCTATTGTCTCTTGTAGCCACTTCATACTGAATATGCACAGTGTTTAGCATGGTTTAGCAGGTCCTTGTGTTCGGGCGCCATTGAACATTTCATACGACGCGTTAGAAATGCGTTGAGTCCAAAGGAGGGCATGTAGAGCACTGCTTCTAGGAATTCCAGAATGAAATTGTTTGTTTGTTTTTTAAACTCTGTTAAAAGAAATAAAATATTGTTTAAATGTTACAGGGATGGAAAATTAAGTGTCAACAAAGAGGAAATAAAGGAAAAAGTCAACCAGTCTTTTCCCGACTTCCTTTACAAGATTTTAAAAAATTGGTGAACTTCGCATTTTTGGGTGCTTTTTCTTTGAATCATTTCAGTTTTCAAAATAAGTTACTTCTTCGTGGGTTTTATGTCAAACAAATTCCTTATGTCTTTACCAAATTATAGCATTCTAAAACAACTTTTGTGCGAGTGATTCAGAAAAAAAGTTGTACAGTTTGTTTTTTTGATCACCCTGTATTTTTATTTAGATGAAAGACGGATATCAATCCTAGATGTTGTTTAATAAGGGAAATACTTTGATGTCTTTATAGAAGCTGTTCGAGTGCATTAACTACCAGACATTGTATGTTTTAAAAATGTGTTTTTGTGTGCCATTTAGAAAAATGAAAGTTGGGAGAACCTTGATTTGGCCTCTGTTTTATGCTTCATGTGTCTGATTTGAATTTTGTGCGAAGTGTGTCAAATTGCAATGGAGCATGTAGTTACTTTAAAAGTGTTTCAATAGTGTTTCTTCTTCTTTCAATTTTTTTCATTTTATATTGTTAATAAATGGATTGAAAATATGGGTAAAAGTACTTTTCAAAGATGTATATGACATCTTGAATCTGTATCTGCTATGACTTATATTTTTTAAATTGCCAGTGTTTGTTTTTTATCTGTTTTTTTCTCTCTTTTTTTTTTGGTCTTCTGCTAACGTTAAAGAAACAAGCTTGAAAACAACATCAGTTTTGTACTGTTGCTATTTCCTGTCTTTTTCAGCTGCGAGTACATCAATGTGGACTCCAACTACCTGACATCTCTCTCTGTGAGTAATATATTTTTAAAAGATGTCTCGATGTACTTGTTTCCGTGGTGTTTGTGACATTGAATGTTTTGTACTGGACAGCCATTTTCTTACATGTGTTCTTGTTACTTACCTTTTTCTTTTACCTTTTTTCTATTGCAGTCCTTGCAACTATTGAGACCCCTTACTTCTGTTTCTGCTTTGGGAGAACATATATTTGTTTTATCAATGTTTTGTTCAGTCTTCTTTCTTGTATTTGGGTGAAAAAGAGGATAAGTATGAATCAGGTTAATCTGAGCAGTGTGATGATTTTTTTCCATCTATATGTGAGCTAAAGAATTTTGTTTTTACTTTGTCTTGATATACACATTAAAAATTTATTATTTTTTAAAAAAATGTTTTACAGCGATCTCAACTGCATAGGGTCATATGAATGCTCGGGACACATTAAACATTTTTCAGGTGGTAGGAAATTTTGAATTTTGCCTTTGTCTGAGAAGGCTAGGTGTAGATCTTTCCTACCATAAGATCAGGGGTGTGACTGAAGAAAGGCAGCAGTAAGATGGAGCCAAGGAGTAGCAGTAGATAGCTGCAGAAAGAGCCAGGAGCCCAGAGATGGGAGCAAAGGAGGTGAGGTGGTGAGGGAAGAAAGTGGAGACGAAAACAGACTACAGAATATTGTTAGAGAGCAGGAAAGGTTTTGAAAGGAGAAAGTTTTGGGTAAGAAAAATTTCCGTCGTTATCCGGATTCGAACCCGGGACCTATTGATTGAGAGGCGAACACCTTATCCTCTAGGCCATGAGGCATTTCTTTGCTTTAGAAAATGAAATATTGTTATAAGAGACTGACTAATTTGCAGAATTAAATGAATAAAGTAAAATACATAACTAAATGAATAAGGTATAAAACTAATGGTTAAGGTACCCAACTGAAAGAACACTGTCCCTCTAAAGATGAAGTACAAAACAGATCAAATCAACTAGAAAGCCGAAAGTATAAAGTAAAATTATAGTAATAAACTAAAAGAATGTGCAAAACCAAAAAAAAAACCAAAGTGTTAAACAAAAATAAGTAAGGACAGAACTTAAAGACTAAGGCTTTTCACTGGATGATAAATTGCAGAACTGAATAAGTTGTACAAACTGAATTAATAAATAAAAAAAAACTCAAATAATAAAAGATAAAACTGACACCACGGCCATTGTGAAAGTGATTTACTCCTCTGTCCTGCAGCAACTTCCTCGCCTCCCACGTGTGCGCTACTTGACGATGCGAGACAACGATCTGAACACGCTGAGTGGACTGTCAGGCCTGGCATCTGCTCCGCTAGAGGAGTTGCATTTAACTGGCAACCCAGTCAGCTTCCACATCGGCTATCGCTACATGTAAGTCCATTTTTTAACATGTGGCATGATTTCTGAATCTTGATGGGCGGCTCAAGAAGGCTGTTGTATTAAGATCTAAGGTTTTGTAGCTGCTCTATTTTGTGGTGAAATTGTGAATGGAATTTTCTTGTTCCAGAAAATGTACATCATGAGAAATTCAGTGTTTGTCTAAAGTTTCTTTTTGAAAGGCTTTCTATCTTTCTGGGTTGAAAAAACATTTCTTTCTTTGATTCTTTATCAGTCTTCTCATTAACCTGTGTGGTTGATGTCACCTTATACTCCAGTGTTGATTTACACTTCGACTCAGCAATGACTATTATCTTTTCCTTCTACCCTGTGCTATTCCCCAACTCTTTTTAAAAAAAAACCCCACACAGATCATTTCAGTTGTCTTTCAAATATGAAAGATCACAAAATATAAAATATACTGAATCATTGTAATTGAATATAGAAGTCTAGAATGTTTCTTAGCTTTTGAGGGACAGAGCGATGTCTGCTGTGTGGTCAAAGGGGATTGAACACCATAGTGCTGACGGTAGAACTTTTATTACAGTTATTTCCCTTTACATCATGTGTCGGCTAAAAACTGACAAATTTCCATTGAAGCTGATTGCCGTAATATTGTTTTGGACTAGCCAGTAAGTGTCATCAAAGAGAAGCTACACTCCTTTTAGGTGTGGCTTCTTGTAAAAGAAAAACAATGTTCAGCTATTTCCCTTCGGTGACAGATTGACTGGTACCAGTACCATTGAACAAAACAGTTGGAAGAAGCTGAAGCTATCCTAGTGTTTACATGACCTTTATATGAGTGGTTGGTGGACTTATTGCACACTAGCAGGAGGCGCAACCCTTCTCAGAGTGAATTAACTCGCTTGAAATTCAATTCTTACATCAACTGTTCAGTGTATAACTCTTTCTATATGTGAGGCATCGTGGTGAAATCAGGTGCTCACCATAAAAATGTTGTCGAAGAAACAGGCATTTTTCTTCCAGTTTAGAAATTTTTTATTGAATTTTTGATTTTTTTTTGCTCAACATCTTTTATGTCCGTATAAAGCTCTTTTCTATGTAAATGTAACTGAATAATGTTGATTGAAGGCACAAAACTTGTAATAATTTTTCAGTTTTCAAGGACTCTCAATCCATTGAAGTTACCGAATTTTGGTTACCATTTTCTGGCTAATTTTACTGCTGAAACCAGGCAACCCCTCCTCAATTGAAAATATCTCGACTTCTATTCAAGATACATGGGTATTTTATTCATTCAAAGTACGGCAAATGAGTAAGCTTTTAGATTATATCAATAACTCCACATGACCAAAAATTGACGTGCGCCTGATTCTACTGCGTAGTGACACATATTTTTTTCAAAACGGTGTATGCCTAAGTCTCACACTAAACAGTCGATGATATGTACCTGGATGATGATGTTTTATAGTTTGAGGTATTCTTTTTGCTTTCTTTCCTTCCATGCACTGTGAAACTCAGATATAACAAAACATTCGGGCCTGACCTTTGATTTTGTTGAATCAAAGTGTTCCTAATGACAATGTGAGCAACAAGTTACATCACAATGTAGGGCTTAGCATACAGCAACGTCTGTTTCCATAGACCAACACACACGATTCATTATGTAGATTTACATCTGTGTCAAGACAGACTAGTTTGTTATTGCCAAGTAGCGGGGGGAGGGGGGGAGGAGGAGAACGGGATGGATATGATTGAGATGTGTCTGCATCTCTGCCGACTTTCTACACCCAAAACGCTTGTGCCTATGCGCACGCACCCCATCCTCCCACCCCCATACCCCCAATCCCATCAGAAACACACATTATCAGTCACCTGACCTAAGACACGTTATGTCTTATGCGTGTGGCAACAATGCAGGTATTGGTGTGAAAGGAGGCTTCTGACTGGATGCTTAAGATGTACGCAATAAGCTAGACTACTAAATGTGTAATGATCTGCGGTGCAGATGCGATCAATGGTGTCTTGGAATAGAGGAGATAAGGTTAATTAATTCCGATGTTGCTGAATTCGAGTTCGCTCATTTATGTGTTTGTTGAATCCGATTTATTTTGTAGATGTTAATGAATTTTAAAAAAGGGGAATCTGTCTTGCTTTGTTGAATCTGAGTTTGTTGAATCCGAGTTCCAATGTACCTGTCTACTTTTTTTGTGTTCTACTTGTATTTCTTCTCTATTATTTTACTGTAAGTGGTCAGTATGGCTTAAGACTTTTTGTAGCATCAGTGGAAAAGTGGTTAGGCTTGTGGACTCTCAACTGTAAGGTTATGATTTTGAATGTAGTCAGGATATTGTGTCCTTGGGAAAGGTGCTTTACACGAATTTTCCTCAGTTTGCATAATAATATAGGTGGGAATGGGTACTCAGCTAAAAAAGTGAAAGATCTTGTCTGGTTGTTAGTGTTTAAGTGTGGGAAATCTACAGTTATTTCTCTGGAAGCTAAGAATCTTTTGAGTCCTTCGGTCTGGAGAAGTAATATGTTGAACAATGCAAAGAGCTTGCTGAAGAGGGTGGATATGTGCTATTTAATGCAGTATATTATCATTATTATTATAATTGCTATCATAATAATGATAATAATAATAATAATAATAATTATTATTATTATTATTATTATTATTATTATTATTATTATTATTATTATTATTATTATTATTATTCTTCTTTTTATTATCATTATCATAGACTTGTCTTTTCTTTTCTTGTTTTGCTCTACCTTTCATGATCTTATCTTGTTACAACTTATGGTATCTTGTCTCAACTTGTTTTATTTCACCCACCTGAGGTTAATCCCTTTCAGGCAGAGGTGATGCAGCATGCCACCTCAGTGATCTAGATTGTGTTAATGATGAAAGATTTGCAATCACAAGCTGTTTTATCTTCTTGTCTTGTCTTGTCTTTTTTTTCTTATCTTGCCTCATCTTTGAATTTACTCTAGTTGTCTTATTGCGCCTTATCTTTTCTTGCCCCTCCTTTATCTTGTCTCACCTTATTCTTAATCTTGTCTTGCATTTTCTCAGCTGAAATTGTGTTGATGGGGGCATAAAATCACCTACATGATGAAAAAATAAAATAAAATAATTTAAAAACTCCCCAGGGTGTTCCAGGCTCTCCCCGCTCTCAAGCTCTTGGACGGCGTCGCGAGACAGGAAGAAGATCTGACACCTCCGCAAGGGATGGAGGACAATATAAAGGATCGTGGCTGTGTTGTTTGTTGAAGGAAACAGTCATGCATTTCTCACCTCGTCCAAAGGAGGCAAATTTCACTGTCATCATGATAGTGAAGAAATTCTTGAAGAAAATGTGATTTTTTTGGCTCATTTGATTTATATTTTGAAAAATTGTGATGCTTGTTTACAGTTTTGACAATTTTGGTATCTGTTTCTATATATTAAAAATATTTGCTACATATTTATGTTTTTTTGTTTTTTTTGGTAATTGATTTTTTTTTCTTTTTTCGGCGAATGTTTATATTTTTCCGACTATGTCTAAAGACAATGATCAGTTATTTCTTACTTTGGCATTTTACATTATGTGATTTAATATAGAAATGAAAACTTGAATAGCCAGTAATGTGCAGTTATTTTATGAAGAATGGCCATCGGACAGGGGGCTCTGGTTTGACTCTGTGTAAGTACATAGCTCTCTCTCACATTTCCTGAAACGTTATATCTCGACCGAGTTTCCTGATGGGGAACCCAGTGCCATGCTTTGCTTTTAAAACTGGCTTGAATTTTGTTTGAAAATTGACTGTTTCGAGTAATTTATATTTATAATTCACATTGACATATGCCGCCTTTTGATAAGACTTTCTCAATGAAAGCCTCCAAAATGTTCTTCATGGATCTGTCAGTGCTGCTACTGTCGGAGGACAGAAAATCTCCTAACTACAGGCAATTTCATTTTCATCTTTTTACAGTGTAATGATTCAGTAATTTTGTGTTGCAATAATCTTATGTTGCAATGTTTTTGTTCAGTATATGAACTGTTTATCAACGACTATGGTTTATCTGCTTGTGATATGTTTTTGAGTACCAGTACCAGTACTTTTTTTTTCATTTTATGTTGTACTCGGGGAGAGACGCTCAAATGATTTTGAATTGACTTGGAAAGAAATAGTACAAATGACACTTGCCGTGATAAGACTTTGTACGTCCATGTACACTTTGCAGTTTTGTTAGGGAGAAGTGCTCAATGGTTTTATATATTAACTCTTAATATACAGGTTATTCCACCTTTGAACACAGGCAATTTTGTCATCCAATTTTTCAGCCATAGTTTCTTTTAATTCTGCTCCTATTAAACCTTTTTGCATAAAATAAACACAAACTTAGTAATAATGAATGATTCTTGTAATAAACATACAGATTTATTTGAGAAAATATTGATTTGCTGGGGTTTTTGTAGATTTTATTTTGCTGTGACTGTAAACAACGGAGAGATACTCTGCTGGCTGAACCTGCTCGCAGTAAACTAAGAGTTAGTATTGTTTGAAATAATACAAATTTGGCTGTTTATGTTGTCGCTATTGTTTTAATTGTTGTTATCATTTTTGTTGTTATTGCTGAACTAGCATTGCACAGTCTTATGGCGTTTAATACAATATCATGATGTGCTTGTCAGATTTTTTTTCCCCTCTTAGATATGGACACTTCTACTGGCTAGATATGCTTCTTCATTATTGTTTTCCTCATTGATCAGTAATGGTTTGAAATATCCTCTTGCCTGTACTATAACTTTACTGTACCCTCATATCCCAAATCTTAATTCTTTTCATAACATTTGGTGGGCCTAATATGCTTGTAGCTTGAGACCTATCATTTGTATTTATCTTGCTAAAAATTCTAACATGTGAAATATTTCAAACTAAACTTGCCACAACAAAGCAGGGAATAGGCTTATGACTTGTAAGAGTTGACTGCTTTCTTCTCCCATGGAGTATGTACAGAGGGACTGGTCTAAAGCCTGACCTGAGTGTCAAACTGGTCCTAAAAGTAATGGTATCAGGTTTGGTGTGTTTTATGTATGAAAAGGGAAGGGACGGAGAGAGGGAGAGAGAAAGGGAGAGAGAAAGGGAGAGAGAAAGGGAGAGAGAGAGAGAGAGAGAGAGAGAGAGAGAGAGAGAGAGAGAGAGAGAGGGTGTATATGTGTATGTGCGTGTATGTGTGTGTGTGTGTGGTATGTTGTGTGTGTGCATGTGTGCATGTGCATGTAAGGGAGGGATACACAGATTGTGGTTTAAGTTGAATGAATAAATTGGAGTGCACTGTACATACGTGTACTATCATTTACTTAATCACGATTTAGTTTTTAGATTCAAATTGAAAGGTCCTTGTGGGAAAGCAAAACAATTTCTTGAAGCTCTACAGTGCATGGACCTAGAAGTAGAGGGCAATGATGACCTTTTCAGAGGATAAGATGGGTTATCATAACGGGATCTTAGAAAGTGTTATGGAGCCAAGAGTTTATTATAAAACAAGCTTTTTGTTTTGAAATATTTACATCCCCGGCAGCCATCATTTGTTTTTAGTATGAATTTGATTCGAATGTACCGTTTCATGTACAATTTGAAATGTGGGTCCTCTTTGAATATTGAGATTTAATTGTTGAAGACGAAGAAATGTTGAAAAAAAATGTGTATGTTTTTAATTTGTCAGGGATGTATTGAAAACTCTTTCTGAAAAGTGTTTGCGGTGCATTTGTCTTTTGCAGCATTATAAAAAATGTGACAATAAATGTTGGTTGTCTGATTCTGTGACGGGGAAGGGTGTGCCAATTTCATCATATCGAATTATAGTGACCTCAATTTTTTACTATCCCACGCTTCCTCTGTTAAATGCATAGTCATAGTTTTGTGTCCAACACAGGGATGATGAAATTGAAACACATGCCCACGATTTAAACTTAAAACGAAAGAATCTAAAGGAATGTCTAGCTAGTAAATTTATTGTAAGCTTGTCAAATAATCAATATTCCAAGAAGTTTTGTATTTTATTTGATGTATTTGTTTACAAGTACAAATGTCACAATAAACCACTGTTGTCCAGAGCAATTAATAAGAAGAAATTTCTGTCAATAAAACTGTAGTTCCTCGAAGGTTTAGTAGATGAAGTAATGTCCAGAATGTGGCTTGGTTAACAAGGACCTACGTCTTGTCGATGGATTTGTCGAATCATAATTTGATTACATAATAATCTAGACATATTTTTCAGCAGGGTTTTTAGCCATTCAATGGGGCTGTAGTTTCTTTAATTTGTAAGAGAAGTTGTAAGAGAAGTTGGGAAAGGATCACATGCGGTGTGTGGTGGGGAAATTGAAACACTGATGAAATTGGAACACCCCGTCCTTGTCTGTGCCAGGCATTTGATTATGTTATGCATGAATCAAAATTCAGCCTTGTAATTTTGCCTGCTGGTTAGGCTACTGTTAACACAACAAGTACACGTTATGAAAGTCAGAAAGAATCATTTCTGACATACATGTGTTACGCATTTAATTAAAGTTCAGCATATCAAAACTGGTGACATGTTTTTGTGCAATTCTTTCTCTTCTAACAGACACATGCAGACATAACTTTCTCATAAAATTATGATGTACAGTTGAATTTACTCTACTAATAGCCGGCTGTCCTAGACAATTACCTGCACAAACAGCAACTTCCCTCTTTCCCTCTTGCGTTATTTTCTACATGTACATTATAAGGACACTGTTCAAGACGTCCATCTGGCTGAGACAAAATCTTTTCTTCTCGACAAAGGGTGGTCGCCGGAGACAATTTTGACTGTATTTTTACTGATAAATTGTGTGGTAATGTCTTTTGAGTTTCAATCTATGTCTGTTATCACGCACAACATGTAGTTTATTTTAATATTTGTCGAGTACAAAGCAGCACTGAGCAGGAATTGACCTTTCTCTGCTTTTAAAGTTTTAGACCAAAACCTGCACCTCCCCTCGACATCCTAAGGACACCAGAGGAAGGAATAAGCGAAAAGTAGAAGTAAAGTCAGAGTTTTACGGCTCTTGCAACACAATAGGCCATATACGTGCCGTAGATTAGAGTAGTTACAAGGGAGTAACAAACACAATAAAATAAAAGGAGGAGAAATCTGGACGACAGGTGTAGGAAAGAGGGAGCAAACCACACCAGAGCATATGCCAACCAACCTCTATAGCTGCTTTGTTATCCCCCCCCCTCCCCCGAAAAAAAACATTTAAAAAACACAAAAAACTAAAAACAAGAAACAAACAAACAAACAAACAAACAAACAAACAAGCAAAAAAACAAGAAACAAAAACAAAAAACAACCGGTTATTTTACCGTTGAGTAGGCAGCTTTTTCTCGCTAATTTTACCCCTGATACCAGGCGTCCACTACCTCCTTCATCTCAAACATGCCAACTTAATATTCATAATACATGGGGATTTATTTTCGTCAAAAGCAAGGCAAATATTAATTCCGTGAGCCCAGAAATTTACGAGTGTCCGATTCCACCGCGTTGTGACCACAGAATTCTACACTTAGTGTAGAATTCTGTGGTTGTGACACATAATTTGACATTGGGTTTTTGTGCATAGTTGGCGGCTATTCGCTAGAGGTGTGGTGATGATGCACACATTTGCATTTGTCGTGCCATGGCGATACTCTGTGAAATCTGTATCTCTTAGGGTGTGTTGATAGAGAGATAGGGAGAGCAAAATAATGGTTACGCCTGTGACCGTCCAAGCAAGATTTTTTAAGAGTGCATGTGATATTATTAAACTTAAGTCAATTCACGTTTGATTGATCCCAAATATTCATAATCCAGGGGGTCGAAGGACTGAAGATGCAAAGACTCAAGATAGCAGAAAGTAAGGTAGAGGTAGCCTACAAGGTAGTTTTTAATGCCATATAAACCTCTTTTTCTCTTGAAAGTTGTCACCTCTAAAGAATTTTGAATGACTTTTATGAAAACATTATCAGCATCAAAATTCAGAAGCCCCCACCTGCTACACTTGTGCTTGACAACCTGGGTGGTACCGTCCATTAGTGGGCGATTTGGCAATTTTGGTGGGCGGTGGGGATCCCCTGGGCAGTGAAAGGTGTTATCTAATTAATGGTCCGCTTTAAAGAAAAACTACAAACATGCAGGTTTACAGTTAAAATATTTAAGCAATTTATTCATATTGTCTGCAAAACTGAGTATTAGCCAATCAATTGAAAAATTACAAACAACAAAAAAACAAACAAACAAAAAAAAACCAAAAAAAAACAAAACAACAAAAACCAAAACAACAAAGGTTGCCCCACATTGTGCAGCACTCTTTTCACTCATGCTTACATTGTTGCTCGAATGTGTGGCTGTCTAAGCCACAGGTGCATCTCTTCTGGACCTATTAATTGTGGTGGTAATTAAAACAGCAGGGCGGAAGATCGGGGGCTGATTCCCGAGTGGGGTGTTAATTTTTATCGAGAGTTATATTTTGTATCTCTTTTAGCCCTGAATGACTCTGCTGACAGACAGACAGGGTCAAAGCCATAGCCTCCTAAATTACTTTATTTGATTCGACATTAAATACCAAACAAGCAAAAGAACCTTCTACACTCATGCTAATGTCATTACTTGAAAATATCACTACTTAACTCAGGGGTGCATCACTACTGGACTTATTGTGACAACCGACAAAGCAGGATGGATGATGCACAATGCTCTGAATGTATCATATGGCTGTAATTGTTTCCCAGCCACTAATTTAGGACTCATGGTGTTTGTCCTTGAGAACATGTTTCAATAGGGTTTGCTTGCAATGTCACTTGACAGAGAAAACCAGCTGCGAAATTACATGCAGTATAGATAGGAGCTTAAAAACGATAAAATTTTATACGTTGTCATTATTTTTACTATGTACTTTTGTTGAAGTTGATTCAGAATGTATGATTATGGCGTCAGTGATCTAGTGGTTAGGTTTTCAGACATTTGATCGTAAGGCCGTGGGTTCGAATCCCATTAGACGCCCGACGTTGTGTTCTTAAAAGGCTCTTTATACAAATTCCCTCACTTCACACTATGGAAATGAGTACCCGGCTACAGACGGAGAAAGATCTTGCCAGTTCCTTAGCCTTATCGTTTTATTACCCTGTATGCCTCCCTGGAAGCTGAGAATGTTTCTGAGTATTCTAAGGTCTGTTGGGGAAGAAATATTTGAAAAGAGCATGCAGAACGTGTATATATCCATTATACAAATCTTCTTCTTCTTCTTCTTCTTCTTCTTCTTCTTCTTCTTCTTCTTCTTCTTC